CAAAGTGACTGTCGGCAAAGTGATACGGACCCGTGTGGGTGTGAGTGTGGTCATGAAGTGGCAAATCTCAAATTGTTACCAGTTTTAAAATCTGTATGTTAAAATTTTAAATCGTAAAATTTTCAAAATTTAGCTGACAGATACATGTAAGTCATCGACTTATGGCTTTCACTTAGAATACCTAAAAGATATCAGATATTTACTTTTCTGTAAAGTTTTCAAATTTGGGATGAGACGTTAGTAAAACTCATAGACTTATGCCTTACACTTTCAATGTCTAGCAGATATCAGATATCAGATATCAGATATTTGCCCTTTCTATGTAATTTTCAAAATGTGCATGAAGCGTACATAGAAGCCATAAACTTATGCCTTTCATTTAGGATTCCTGTCACAAGGGCGGTATCAGCAATTTTCTTAGTATATGTGTTCAAATTAATTAGAAGACCATATTAGAGTTGGAACCGGTCCGGCAATCCGGTTCCGGTCCGGCCGGACCGGACAAGACCGGACAGGACCGGACGAGAAATCAAATCCGGCCGGACAAAACCGGATTTTTGCCAGCTCATCATTACAAAATTGTTGCTCGTATTTGATAATTTTTCACCAAAGAACGAGTTTTTTCTACATTTTCAACTGAAAAGATGAATAGAATGGTATTCTAAATGAGAAATAGACAGAAAGAAGCAAGAGAGCTGCTTCTCTCTTATGGAACAATTGCAGTTGCTAGAGCAATAGCCGATCGGTGCAATGATTGTAGTAATTAGGAAAAGACGAAAAGTTTAAGATATGAAAGCGAGAAATCCTACGTCAACTATTTCGGCTACCAGACCTATAAGAAGGTGGTCGATAACCATCAGAATCGACAGGTTTCATTATGTTTCGATGTATTTTGCAATTGGATTGCTAGTTGAAGTCGTTAGAGTTCTCCGACAACAACTGCCAGTTGTGCTCGAAACACAAAGAGACCGACTCAAAAACTCGAGTCAGATTCCATTGGCAAAAACACCGGATCATGACAAAAACTTCACACGGGCAACTATACTCTAGAGGTATAGGCTCTATTCCATTTGCTAATTCTCTTTCACGACCATCATATCTACCACAAAATCAAGCAGTTCTCCTGTCTTGATCTTTTTGAACGGTTCTTAGTAGAAAAAGAGAAAAATACGTGTCATTCACGATAGTTATTACTGAGCTTGATTTTTTGTTTTTAAATAACGATGAGTAGTCGATATTCGATATAATCGGCTCATCTCTATTTATCTTCAGCTTGAAAAGTCGATATCTTGGAATCGAATATAAGGAAGCTGTTTTTTTACATATATTCAGGCCGTCCACTTCAAATATCCGCATGTAAATATCGAAAATTTTACTTCATTTACTATCTTTCGTAAACAAGCTTCTTTTGACTTCCAATTTTTTGCCGGATTTTTGCCAGTTTGGCTTCGAAAATGAACTGGCCGGATTCCGGCCGGACCGGACCGGACAGATTTTTCTACTGGCCGGACCGGATCGGATACAAAAAATCTGTCCGGTTCCAACTCTGGACCATATATCTTACTGTGATCGCGATCTAACATTTACCATAAAATCCAGCATTAGATATCTACCATTCATCTCGTTTTATTCGTTGGAATCTAAGAAAACAAAAACATTTACCAGCATATTTATAAATGATATCGGTGAAACTAGGGTGGATGTGGGGTGTGTGAGTGTGGGTGTGGGTGTGGGTGTAAAGGAAGCGAAGTCTGGTACTGACATTCACACCCAGAAGGCATTGGCGTCAGGCAAAACGTTGTTTTTCGTGATTCGCAGCTCACGCTCTATCAAATGATGTAAAAGAAGGACAAAACTTTTAGTCGAATCTCGCATTTCCGGCGACTTTAATGAAAACTCTGGGAGAATTTCGCTCCTATAATTAGCGTTTTATTCTTTAGAATCATTTAGGTTTTGGATGACCTAAAAGAATAGTAACTAATTAGCTGTATGATGAGGGATTCTCGATGGATCGTCCGGGTTTCGTATCAATGCTATCATATCTTCATCTAATGATAATCTAAGTTGATCCAATTGATGATGAATAAGTAAAGATAATGTTTATAATAATGACTGAGACAATTAAGATTTATGTTAGGAAAACAACAAATTTTATTATCATTGTTATAAAAGATTGATTGATTAATAAAATTGTAAGAGTTTCAATTAATTTTGTTGAAATGAATATATTTAGTAACAGGTGAAAGTAATGATGAATTTCAAGTAAATAATAATTATACTGATGGAAAAGTTTTATAAGATAATACTGTTAGATTAAAAATAATTCCTTGTTTATCTTTCGAAAATATTTTAATAAATAAGAGAATTAATACGTTTAATAATGATCATTTCATTTTCAAATAAAAGCAAATTTGTAATCTAAAATTAATATAAAAATATTTTTTCAAAGTAATAAGAAATAGAATTATCTTTGTTCGAGAAAGCAAACGTTTTCATGTATGAATCTTTCCTGAAAGCAAATACTAATAGTAAACTTCTTCAAAGTTATTAATTCAGCTTTCTATAGAGAAGGGTGTGGTGGGTGTGGATCTGGAACGAACAGAAGATTCACACCCACACTCACTCACACCCCACTGTGACGATTTTTGATAGAAGGGATGTTAGTGCTGATGGTATTACACTTTATTCTATTCCTTCATATCATATAATCGCATCGTTTACATACATAGCACACGCTTATATACGCAAGTAGAAGAAGTGAGAATGAAAAGAGAGGAGATAAGGCCAAGGAGAGAGCCGATATAGGAGAACAATAGGATAAGGACAGAAGCATAAGAATAGAAAGGTAAGGACAATGTATAATATACGAGTAAGTGATATGGGAAGGTTAAGTATCATGTGTGAAATCCAATCAACCGGGATCGTTACACCCACACTCACCCCACACCCACACACACCCTTATTTTGCGTTTTTACAGTTGCTTTAATTATGACGTTACCATTGTTTAAACGCAAAAGCTCGAACATTTTTCAGAAGTTTTAACATGATCGATCAAGGGGGTGTTTTGATGTTATTGCACTGAGTTCACGATTCGACGAGTTGCAAATGATTTTGTACTTATTATAATGTAGATTCCACCAAATAAACTTCTACTTACGAGATATCTAAACTACTGTGAAACCAAACTTGCGTATTTATTTATCAATTAAATTTTCTAATCACATTTAATGCAATTTATACGCTCATTGATATGCAGCTAATATTAATAGTAGAAACTGAATAGGTGAAGGAACCTTGGGGATTACGGTGTGCGACCAAGTGTGGGTGCGGCAATGAGGGCAACTGTGAAACCTCTCTACATCTACTTTTGAACTTGATTTAACGTTTTTTCCGTATAGGTCTTCCTCAAGTATTCTGCGTTTTAGGCTCATCTGTTTCTTCTTTTAAAAAATTTTACAGACCTATGTTAGAACTTTCTTAATTTTATATCATGTAATGTTTATCGTCAATGAACATTAGAAAAAGTTTATTAGCATACTTCTTTTCATGACTGACCTATCAAAACTCACATGACTCGATTACGGATGTGCACATGAATATGACTACTACGAGTTTTCTCACGTACATTCTATTTTTTCTATAATAATAATAATAATTAAATTAAAATGGTTTTAGCTATTACGCATTTTTTTGTTGAATAATTTTCTTTTCGAATCCAAAGTTTTCAATATGCTGTAAAATGAATGTTAACCATTTCATAATATAGTTATTATCAATAGATAGAAAATTCAATTGAGAATTTTCATTTGATTTATTTTGTTGAACAGTCGAACTTGTTTGTTTAAATAAATTATATATGAAGAATTCTCCGATCGATTTAATAAAATTATTTTCCTTTGATTGTAATATTAGCTTATGTTTCCATTCATCATCACATATAGGTTCAATTTTAATACCACACTTACAAATACATTCGACAATATTTTCAAATGAGATTGTTTCATTTTGATTAACAATATGATAAATCTTTCCATAAGTATAAGATTGATTTTGATTAGGAATAATAATCGTATGAGCAGCTAAATTAACAGGTAATTGATTAAACTTCTTTTTTACGATTGTTGATGGATAATAACCACTCATCATAATTGTACTAAGGAATAATGTATTTAAATCATGTTTATTACAAGCACCTGTTTCAGTACTAGCACCAATAGATCCTAAACGATAGATAATAACTGGTATACCAATACGACTAGCTTTTGTCATGAGTATCTCTGAAACCCATTTACTTTGTGTGTAGCCATTACTTAAATGATCTGTACGAATATTATCAATAGATATTTCATCATTTATTCCATTCGATAATACACTCATTGTCGACATATATATTATTGGTATATATGCCGAAGGATGAGAAGCAAAACGAATAATTTCTTTAGTACCATTAACATTTGTATCATGAAGTATTCTATATGGTAATACAAAATTAACGATAGCAGCACAATGAATAATAATATCTGTTTTATTAGCAAAATCTTCATATGTTGCATCATCAAGTCCAAAATGATATTGTGTAAGATCACCTCGTAAAGGAATAATTCGTTCACGAAAATCATCATTCCATACTTGAAGATATATCATATTATCTCGAATACGATCTAATGGATTCGTAGAAGTTTGACATCGAACAAGACATAGAAATTTACATGTCGATGGATAATATTTTAACATTTCAAAAAGTAGAAAAGCTCCAATAAATCCAGTTGTTCCCGTAATAAATATTCTTGAAGGTAAATCATTTATATTTTTATGTGTTTTAACTTCTATATTCAAATCTAATTGACAATCATTTAATAATTCTGATTTAATCGATTCTGACCAAGAACATATTTGTAAAGGATTTTGAACAATATTAACTAATTTCTGTAAACTTATATCAGGTTCATATAGAATGTTTAATGGTATAGATATACCAAGATCATTATCAATCATATGAGATAGACGTAGACCAGTTAATGAATCAACACCTGTTGTTACAAACAATGGATCATTGTCATTTAATAATAATTCTTGTCCAATTACTTTTTCGAGAATTATTTTCAATTGATTATGAATAGAATTGTGCTCTTTTAATCGATGAGCATAGTGTACAAATAATTTCGGTCGACAAAGCTTCATGGACAATGTCAAAAGACCATTTTCACTAGTAAATGGTTCAAAATCAATAATTAATTTCGATGGAATTTCATATATTTGAAGTGATTCCTTCATAGCTATGGTATGTAAATCATTCAAAATAGTATCATAAAGTAATTTATCTGTATTATCATAATTCATTTTTTTAATATTTTGTTTTTTAAGAAAATTTTCATAATAGTCTTTATTAGGTATGATTACTGCTTTGACACTATTATATAGACCATCACCATATATATAGATTTGTTCAATGAATAGACTTTGTAAATAGATGTTTTCAAGAAATTCAGCTGACACAAATTGTCCTTGGGCAAGTTTGAAAAAATTTTTTCTACGATCAATTACGTGTATACTAGGTGTCTCACCATCATTCAAACGTAATTCAACAATATCACCTGTACGAAAATATCCATCGTCGGTCAATGCCAATTTTGTTTCTTCAATATTATTTATATATCCAGAAAACATTTGTGCAGTTTTAATGACAAGTTCTCCTCGTGGAAAAGGTTTATCATCAATTGTATAACCAATATCTTTGGCTGATTCAAGACGATAATCAATAATGGTGTTAAGAAACTTATAATTGAAAGTGATTCGTCCACATTCTGTTGTTCCATATGCTTCAACTATTTTACAATGTCGAAAACATTGTTTCATAAAATTTAATACTAATGGACTAACCATAGCACCACCAATAGAAATAACTCGACATCGTTGAGGAATTAATTTCGAGAAAGATTCTAGCAGAGTTTTTTTATCTTTTTCATCTATTAATGCAAGACTTCTTTGAAATTCCGAATAGATCTTATTCCAAAACGTAGGCGGTGCTGAGAAACTTGTCGGTGAGACTAAAGCAAGTTCTTCCATAAGTCGATTCATATCACCTGTTGAAAATCCTGTAGATCCACCTTCGAGAAATGTTGCAATCGTTGCTTTACGATCAGTTATCCACGCTAATGGTCGATAACTAAATTTGATATTTTCTTGATTTCGAAATAAAGTCCGTTGTGAAAACGTAACTCGAAAAACATTTTCAGATATCATTGCTCCTTTTGGAAATCCCAAACTTCCACTTGTATAAATAATCGTAATACAGTCATCAGGATTATTAATAACATATTCATTGCTATTTTTGCAACTACCTAATTTTTCAATTTCATCCATGGTATGAATCAAAAACCCATTATCTTCTAGAATTGAACTTATATATTCATGTTATATATATTACATTAGAAAAGGATACTTATTCAGATCAGTAACATTCATACTCTTTTATATTCTCTGTATTTTAGATGAATCAATATGTCAGCGGTGTCACTAATCTGAAGAAGATGCTGGAAAGAACTGTAATGTAAGCTATGAGTTTTAAAAGTTTGCGCTTATGTTTCCTACGCAATATATTTTCGAAATTCTTTATGAATATCTGTGAATCTTTTCTAAAGTCTCACTAGCGCTCTTCCGATAGACATTTCGAGACGTCGATTTAAGCTTGTCATGGTCATGGAAATTCTAAATGGACGATTTGGATTCTCACTCTCTGGAGAAGAATATCAGAAGATGAGTATTTACAATGCATAGTTATCGACCATCTAAACTAAATACAATTTTTTTTTCTAAACAAATTATTTTTTCAATTTTTCGATGGATAGCAGTTAAAATTAAACATTGGTTAGTAGTTTTTGAAATTGTTTTTTGCAATGAAATATAGATTCACTATTTTAATTTTTTTTTCCAAGACTAAAGAATATTTGTTACAAATATGCTTCTATTAAAGTCGTTTTATTCAGCCACTTGAAAAAACTATTTTTATGATCAATTGGTGTCCACTGGCGCACTCATTGAAACGTTCTAGTGTTTTCAGTCACATCTTTCGTCTATCTTTGTGAATACTCGCTTGTTCTTATTTTCTATCATAATCGTTTTTCTACTATTTTTTTTTTAATTATGGTTATTAATCTGTTCTCGATTTGATATATTTAATTAATAAAAACAAAAACTGTGTGAAATAATGTCATAGACACGTACAACTGAAAACATACATTCGAATACATAGTGCATTTGTTTTTTATAAATTATTTTGTTTTGTTTTTCGATTTCTTTTCTGGATCGACAGCGACAATGCCATGCTATGTTTGTAATTTCTATTTTTATTACATGTCCTATTCAGTTAGAATAATGGAAGCGCTCAATTTTTTGATAGGGGTAATAGAAAATAGACATTCCATGAGTAAAAATTGCTGAATTTTGTTTATATTGGTTAGGATGATAATCGAACATAAAATCACGATTTATTAGAAAGAAGTTGACAATATATCGTGCTTCAACTCACAGACAATCGTCAATTTGTTTTACGAATTCAATCGATCTCTAATTTCGATGTCAATCGCAGACTGATATTAACGCATCGCTAGAATGATTAAACTCGATGGATAAAAATCATAACTTTGGCGAATTCAGAAAACTATCTCTTCTTCAAATTAATCCAATCGAACTATGAACAAAACAATAAAGACTTACTAGAATTCATGTCAGACACATCATCCATGCATATAATATGACGTACTGTTGAACATTTAGACTGTAATCGAATTAATCTTTGTAATATATGTTTATCACAAACAATAACGGATATATTTGTATGATTAATTATAAATGTCATATCACGATCATTCGATTGATGAAAAATTGGTACACTGATAATACTTTGCAAAATACAGGCTAAATCTGTTATTAACCATTCAGGTCGATTAGCGGCACAGATCGCTAAATGATAATGTGGTTTTATAAAATGTTCTAATCCATAACTAAAATTTTTTATTCTTTGACCAATGATTTTAAATGTTAACCAAACGTAAGAATGTTCATTACTATCTGAATCATCATTAGAAAAATTTCTTACACCAAAACATGAACGTTCCGAATGAAAATAAATTGCCGATAGAATTCGACTCGCCATATCAGGTCGAGTACAGATTTTCTCTATTCCATAATCAAGAGAAAATTTCCGAATTAAACGATGAGAATGTGATGATTCCATTCTTGTCTTACACATTTCGCAAACATGACAATGAAGACAACTTGGACAATAAAACCATGATTCACCTTGATTAAATATGCGATGACAAACAGTACAATATTGAACAGTTGAATTGATTGAAGCGTTCAAATTTTTATTCATCTAATCAGCAAAATAGAACGATTAAGTTATTCTAGTATGTAATGAAAGTATCTTCCCTGAAATTAGTCGAGTAAAAATAAATGCTGATCTATGGAAATTCTTCAATTATTCTCATTTTGAACTTTTTCTATAGAAATTTATCCAACAAGATATTCCATTAAAATAATTAATTAATCGTTTATGTAAAGATCTTTGTGGTTCATGTACGTATCTAATAGAAAACTATTATTATATGATGAATCGTAGCGATCGAAAACGAAGAAAATATCAATTAATAGCACTATAAACAATTTCGATTATTATAACGATATTACATATAGACTAAGTTTGTTTTCTCCAAACTAAAACTTAGCATCGGATGAACCACAATAAATATCAAACTTAATTTCAATCGATAGCTTTCGTTTCGGAACACATTTGTCTTTTTATGAATGTGGATAACAACCGTTCTGTTAAGACATACGATAAATTTTTTAAAAGAAACTTTCAGTTTTCCATGATGCTACAAGTCTAGTCGGCAGCAGCATGATCTACTACTTATACTTGATTATTTTGACTGTCATAGACATCATAAATATCCAATGTTTTCTTTTTCAGTAAATAGAATCTTCAACATCTTTTCGAAAATTTCTTTGAACCTAATTAAGAAACTTTTCTCGTCTATCTTCATACTCTTCGGTGAGCAATGGTTGGAAAATCTGTTTTGGAGTGCTCGAAAACCCAGATCAATGTCAAGTACTTGACATATACTTGTTCGCGAAATACCGAATTCATTCATCAATTTTCCATTTGATATCGGTTCTTTTTGGGACTAATCATGTTATTTTCTTTTTAATGGTTGCTTTCGTTCGAATAATACGTACATATTATACAGTCTGATAGATGTGATATCTTTATGGAACCATCCTCACAAATCATTTTGGACTACACTTTGATTCTACGAAGATAGACATCCTCGATCAGGTCTTGAAATATTTTTGTTCGACAATTAGTTTTTGATACTGTAGAGAAATATAATTTTCTAAATATCTTTACTATTCATTTCATTAAAACTGAAAGAAATAAGTAAGCATAAAATCAAATATAGGTTCTTGTAGAGAGTCGAACAAGGAATCTTTTAGCGAAAATCACTTAGTTCGAAATAATGAAGTTTTAGAAAGATGTCGCAGAAATAAAGACTAAGAGTGATATTTATTCTCATTCATATGCTAGAAGTAGATTATTTTTCTTTTTTTCTAATTTGTACTTTCAGCATTTGTAAAATAGTATTTTTTTTCCTAAAAAATAATGCTAAAAATCATTTGATTACAAGTCATCAGCTATGACTCATTGTATTAAGAACATAATGAATTTCAATAAAGTAGAATTAATCAAAACAACTTACTTATGTTTGCTGTTATCACAAATGTATATCGAGACGAGATATTATTTATATTTTAATGCACAACATATTTTGTATTTTTCTTTTTGAAATAGAGACAATCAGAAATCTATTTTTTCTATTGCAAATAAACGACAAAACATGCTATTTTTTCGTTCTGTTTGATGACAGAACATCAGTGCTATATGGTATGCATTATGCTTCGATGAATCATCTTGTTTAAGTCGGCTGACTGCACGAAGTGCAGTCAAAGCCGACTGATTGCTTTTCACTCGCTTAGTTGCCATGGCAAATTCTTCTTCTTCTTTAAGTCGGCTGACTGCACGAAGTGCAGTAGCCGACTTATTGCTTTTCACTCGCTTAGTTGCCATGGTAAATTCTTCTTCTGCTTCTTCTTCTTCTCCTTGTTCTCGACGCATGAGTCACGATTCAAGTCAGCCACTCGTTCTCAGCTTCTGAGCATCATTTTCAGTCGAAAAAAACCTTGACGAGATCCTGAGAACATGACGAGTGCACATCTGAAATCCGTTTTTCGAAATTCGACTCCAATCGGGAGATAGAAATACAACAAAAACAATGATAATTACGTATGAGTCACGATTCAAGTCAGCCACTCGTTCTCAGCTCCTGAGTATCATTTTTAGTCGGAAAAAACCTTGACGAGATCCTGAGAATGTGACGAGTGCACATCTGAAATCCGTTTTTCGAAATTCTGCAGCGTTCGGGAGATGTAAATGATGCCAAAAATGATAATGAACAGCTGTTAATTTCCTTATATGGTTATACATGACTCACTCTTAAAACACCATTCATTTAACAGATCTTATGTGCATATATACTTTAATTATCGTTTTGCATAGCTGAGATTCATCCACGAAGAAGTCTCAAGCATTTAAAAAAATCTCTTCATGGTTTAGACAGATGAGACGATGAGCGATAATGAACAGCTGAGAGCTTCCTGATATGGAAATCTACGATTCAGATTCATTATGATTTCCTCTACACAACTCTTGGGTATAGAAATAGTAGATGTCGTATAGAACCAGGTTTTGATATTTTTCGGGCTCTGCAGTCAGCCGACTTTTCTAGCCGGCCTTGGGTCGGGTAGAGGTCTAGTCTTCTTCTTCTTCTTCTCGACGCATGAGTCACGATTCAAGTCAGCCACTCGTTCTCAGCTCCTGAGTATCATTTTCAGTCGAAAAAAACTTTGGCGAGATCCTGAGAACGTGACGAGTGCACATCTGCAATCCGTTTTCCGAAATTCGGCAGCATTCGGAAAATATACGAATGTGAAAATGAATAATTAACAGCTGATAATTTCCTTATATGGGTTTGCGTGATTCAGTCTTAAAAGACCATTCATATCTTAGATCTTATGTGCATATATACTTTAATTATCGTTTTGCATAGTTGAAATTCATCCCCGAAGAAGTCTCAAGCATTTAAAAAATCTCTTCATGGTTTATACAGATGAGACGATGAACGATAATGAACAGCTGAGAGCTTTCTTATATGGAAATCTACGATTCAGATTCATTATGATTTCCTCTACACAACTCTTGGGTATAGAAATAGTAGATGTCGTATAGGACCAGGTCTTGATATTTTTCGGGCTCTGCAGTCAGCCGACTTTTCTAGCCGGCCCTGGGCCGGGTAGAGGTCTAGTTTTTTTTTCTTATGACCTCTGTTATTTTTTATATCTGGAATACAAATTAGTTCAATAGAATATGTTTCAGTTCTTTTCAAGTTTTTTTAGAAAAAAATTCGTATTATTATTCGAAATCTCTAATCAATGAAACTTAACACTATCAAAATGTTACAATTTTTCATATAAAAAAGAAACTTTCAAATTCGTTTGTTCAATTGACTAAAATATACTTCAATGAATTCAAAATGGGGCTAATTTTCTATTGTTCACTATTTTATTTTCCAGAGAAAAATTTTGCTTGAAAGATTACTCCAAGTTCAATATCTATGAAAACTATTGAAACACAAAAATGATAGTTGATATTTCAGTACTCTCTTACAAGCTTATATAGAGATGAATATGAAAACTACATATCAGAGACATTGCACTCACACGCGTATCGTGTGTTACAGTATCAAGCCGAAATGCTTCATGATCATGTAGGTGCGAATAAAATTTAATGAAAAAGTATTCTTTTTTCTCACTGAAATGGAATACATTTCAATACTGCAAAAAAAGCGAACCAATCATTTTCATGAAGTTCCTTTGATAGCGAAGCGTTGAACGAGATTGCTGTGATGATCGAAATCCAAACCAATAAAGATATTCACATGACCATCTTTGTCGATAATGATACTGCCCTTTGGTGGTTCTTCAGAACAACGTACGGCTTCATAACTTCTCAAACTGCGCCATAGAAAGTGTCTATGATATCGAAGAACCGTCCTTGAAAATGATTTCATGATTTTGAGAGCATTCCTGTTACCTTGACCTACAGCAAAGACATTACCGTTTCATGCATCTTTATTTCATTTCATCACACAATAATTATTCTCATGTGACATGCAGATAGCTTGTTGTTGCATGACAAGAAGATAGATCAGAAAGGAGAGGATCGTTAAGCAGAAAAACTGCCCCCGCTCTCTAGTACTGATTCTGACTGCTGATAGTTCAATACAAACTAAGATAATGTCTCTCCCGCATAAGGTCGTGTTATCCATGATTCATAAGAAAAGCTTTTCTTTCGTTATTGGCATTTCTAATTTGATTTATTTACAAAATGAAAGCTTATTCTTTTCACTATTCAATGATGGATTAAAATATAAGAAAATATTATTCATTCCAATTCTTCTTCAGATGAGATGGTTCCTGATATACGTAACTACCACAGTACTGATAAAAAAGACTTTCGACCTATAATGCTATGGAAGCAGCGGTGCACTTAAAATTACATTCTATTCGATAGCCATTTTAAACGCAAAAAATTGTAATTTTTCATACGTTGTTGAGTATGAATGCGAGTAAACAACACAAACTCTCACCCACACACTCCCTATGTTAAAAGAACCTTTCAGAAAAAAAATACCCTTGTTCTACGAAGTTAAATGTTTGCCTTCTTCATTGACACCCAAGGAAGAACTCTACCTACTTTTGCTTGAAAATCCTATTGTGAAGAACAGAAGAGATCAACAACAAAAAAAAGTTATCAACATCCGAACGAACAAAAAGCCGAGCTCCTATTTTATTGTGTTTTTATCTTTACAACTTTCTCTTGCATTCGTTTGCGTAATCACTATCGGGTCAATGTATGAGATACATTTTGTTGTTGAATGAGTTCCCATAGAATAACACGATACATTCTTTATTATTCATCGAATTCTTTCAATGTCTTTCTAATCTATCTGCCCTGTATCCGATTGCTGTTTAAATGTTGAAATTGATTATGGCAATTATTGAAAAAAAACCGTTATTTAGAACCGTTCAACACGAATACTATCGGCATCGTGGGAATAAGCGAACGGGACTAGAGTAAGTTTGATTGAAGTAAGATTGATAGTTGCTTCCTAACTTATCAAATAACGCTGTGGATAATTAAATAGTGACTCAAATACAAAATTCGTTCCCACTGGTGTGCATGTGTACATGTGAAGT